AAAGGCCGAGGGAGCGTAAAAAAGGGGCCTTAATGGTTAGAATAGGGTGTCGGGGTGCATCAAGGCAGAGTTAGTAAAAGGAGCTGTACAGAAAAAAGAGTCTGTATTCCGGCTTCTACAGTAAACGAAGGCCCCCCCAAAACCCTAGCTCACGGCTGCATAAACCCTCATCACCTGCTAGACTTTCACGCCTGAAACCCAGGCCCATAAGCCCAAAGACCGTGGGGCTCCGTGATACGAGTTCAAAAAACATTCCTCATTTGTGGTGTCAACGGAGCTCCGGGAGTTGGGTGGGCAGGCGCCTTGGAGCCACACTGGAACTTCACTTTCAGGCTCCGCTCCTTAGGAAGCAACGTTGGTGCTGGTGAAGCCCGAAAGCCCAAACCCCGGAACCCTGAAAGCCCCAGACCCAAAAGCCTTAGTCATGTCGGGGCCTTCATACTTGGGTAGAATCGGGTTTGGGTGTGTTAAGGTAGAGTATTCGTAATTGTTCCGTGCCCCAAAACCCTAAACCCCCGTAAAAGCTGCCAGCCAGAGCCCTGGAACTGCCAACACCTCGATTTCAAGAGACCTCCAAGCCTCCTTGGAGGATCACAAAGGGAGGTGCTAACCATAAGCCTCCCGCTCTCAAAATGGATCTGAATCCTTCTTGCTAGGCTCCTGGAAAGAGGAGGTTTATGAATCAGGGTCTTCTACATCCTACTTTGTAACCCCATCTACTCAGCACCCTAATCCGGCTAAGTACCCGCATAGACCCCATCAGAACCCTGTGAGACCATTGTAAACCCCCACTTTGCTAACTAAGTCCCATGACCCTCTCAAGGTCGCCAAGCGTCCGGGCCACCAGGACCTCAGTGAGTGCACTGTCTGTATCTTTATAGTTATGTTCAAACCTTACTATGGGAAAATGTTTGTATATTTCCTTACATTATTACTTTACTTACATTAAACTTTTGTAGAGTATACTGTACTATGCTATATAATAATAAGCCGTATTATGTGATCTTGTATGATATGATGTTATATCATATCATATCCTATCTTACCATGCTATATGATACTGCATGACCTAAGTGAATCTAAAATTGCTGTTGATATATGAGACTAAAGTTTATGGCTTCATATTGCATTATGATAGTTGATGTTGTTTCGATGATATGTTGTATTCTACTACATTAGGTACTATAGAAGATTATGTCACGCTGTGCTACACTATACTGTACCATACTATGCAATGCTGTGCCGCTTTAGAATATACTATACTATACCATACTATGCTATGCTATACTGTACTGTGCTAAACTATACTGGAGCTAGACTATGCTATGCGTTGCTATGTTATGCTCTCTTGTACTCTACTATACTATACTATATTACAGTATTTTCTGACATGGTTTTCTGTGTCATATACCACTGCTATACTATGCCTAATCATATTATATTTGGTTTGTTGTACTATGTGATACTATACTGTGCTATGTTATGCCATACTCTTCTGTTCGAACATGTTATAATATAGCCTATGCCACTACGTAATGTCTTTTTTATGTGAAGCATACGATCTTCTACGATACTGTATCTATGTTCTACCATAGTGTACTACATGTATACTCTGATATGTTACATGGTATTATATTATGCAATATTATATCATACTGCATTGTATTACAAAGGTCTTATTTTATACTTTATTCTACTATGTTCGATTTTTTGCTCACGGATTGACCGGCCACCCCCGCAAGCAGATTAGCACATCGTCTTGCGGTCATTCACTGGCAATGACAGTGAGTTGGCCTCGCCACGAGGGCGTTCCCATGAGTGCTGCCCTGCACCCGGCCAGCGGTGCGATGGCTCCCCCATCGTGCACAAAGTCAGTCTCAGCTTCGTCGACTTTGTGTGGTTTATTGTTGTAGTTTTGGTCGTGGTGGAAGCCACTGGCATGCTGGTGCTCGTTTCGCTTGTGCTGGTTATCGTGGTCGTGGGAGCCCAAAATGCAGATCCAATAAGATGAAAATCAATGGTTGCTGTCATTGGAGGCTTACATGTGACTGCAGTCACTTGCGCCGGAGGCGTCCAGACTCCACTTGTCACATATCAACACGACAGGCCTCCCCTCCCAGCACGCAAGGCAGTCACAGATTGACTGGCCACCATTGGCGGTCCGAAACAAATCTCGCGGTTTTATTTCATACTGTAGAACAATGAAGACAGGAACGAAACGTCCGTACTATGCATGACATGACCCAAGAAGACACGTGAGAGTCTGCATTATCGACAGGATAGAGGGCAAAGAGGATGCTGCAAGTCGCGCATCTCACAACGAACGGCTCACTCGCAGCAACTGTAGCAACCAGCGCTCATGTGCATCAGGTCGGCTGCCCTGTCGTTGGCGGCAGTTGCAACACTTGAATCCTAAGACGTCTTTTCAAGCTGGAGCCAGCCCGGGGCAGCGAGGACAAAGCGAGGGCCAACTCTCTTAGCGGCCCAGTGAAAAGAAGCAAGTATTCCAAGTGTTCCGGTTTCGATGGAGTGTTCATCTCGGGCGGAATGAGCTGAAGCATTGCCCTTGTGTATCTGGCTTAGGGACATCTCTCTCTCCCTCTCTGCGTTTGGTCCTTTCTTTCACAGGGCCTTCAGAAACCCAAAGCTGCAGCCAAAGCGCAATACTGCCCGGCATCGAAGGTGGCCAGCCCGGGGGCATCCCAGCCCTTCCATCTGCCGACGGAGGTGCTGTCCTCTGCGGTGGGATTTAAGGTTTAGGCCTGAGGGCTTTTTTAAAAAGTCGCAGCGGGTCCCTTCTAAGGGGCTTTTATTGATTTTTTTTGCGGAGTCTTTTGTAGCTTTTGAGGGCCCCCGGGTTCTGAAAGGCCCCTTGTTGGGTTGTGTTGGGTTTTGCACGGTTTTGAGGAAGAGGGGGCCACCGCTCCCGTCCGCAAGGGTGGTTTAAGCCTCTTCTGAAAGCCCTCACACAGCGAAGCGCGTCAGGCTTCGAGAGCGCAGCTATCAACCTTCAAGTCCCGCAAGCCCCCAGGTCGATTTTTCTGACCCTCACACTCTGACCAGAGAGTTTAGGGCTTCGGGTTCAGGTTGTGGAAGTTTCTTGGGCATTTAGGGTTCAGGGTTCAGGGTTTAGGGTCTAGGGCCTCTAGGGCTTAGGGTTTAGGCAGCATTTTGCCCCCTCTCCGAAGAGTGCAGGGCAGCCGCCTGCTTCGCATCGTCGAAGAAGCCTGGGACTTTTGTGACTCTCGGAGCTTAAGGGCTGAAGGGCTTTGGGGTTGCGTCGCATAGATTCCGGCTTAGGGGCTTAGGGTTTAGGGTTGAGAGAACAGAAGCCAGGACGACGGTATCGGTGGAAGGATCCGAGTTGATGAGCCTCTACATCACGACAAGATGATGGAAGCCCAAACCTTTCGGCCTGAAGCTTCAAAATCCTAAGCAAAGCTAACACATCCGTTCAGCAACCAGCACCCCGTGGAAGCAAAAGGGTCTCGAGCTCAACGCGCAAGACTCGGGCTTCTCATACACCCCAACCATGTTTAGGCTCAGGACCCAAAGCCTGCGAACCGGAGCTGGTACAAGTACCACTGACTGGCCTAGCCTGGGAACGATCTCACACATCAAGCACTGTTCATCTTCGAGGAAGTCGTGATGCAGGTGTCGAGACATGTGAACATTGACCAAGCATGAGCCCGACATGAGTAGCTCCACACAAAACCCTGAAATCCTAGACCCCACAACCCGAGGCTGGCACAGATCTTGTACTTGTACTCGCCGATGCTCTTCTCAATGCAACGGCCGTCCAGCCCAGAGTATGGCAGCTCCCATTCCTCCGTGGTGGCTTTCAGCTTCTTCTCCTTGGCTACCACAAGTGACATGATCGGATCCTCAAATCCGAGAGTAAAGGACCCCTGACTCTAAAAACCGCCATCATCGCATCAAAGGGTAAGTAACCACCAAATATAGCCTCCAATGGCCCTTTGCTGCAGAAGAGCAGCCACCATCCACCCGCTATGTCTGGGTTGTTCTGATCGAGGCTAAGTCGAAAACCCACTGTAATACACAGACACTAAACCAAGAGTGCCCATGCCGTGTGGGCATCCAGGCATCACAGTATAGTCAGTGCTGCACAAAAGGGCCGGACACGTCTCGGAACCGACGACAGGACGCCGGTGGGAGCGGCTCCGCTTGTTTTGAAGCAGGCATCAGGCTTCCGCTCTTAGGAGGTAGGGTCAAGGGCTCAGGAGTTCGGGTTCCTCTATCCTTTGCATCTGCTCTTGCATACTGAAAGCATTAAGCAGAATCAGACAAGCACTCATTTGCACCTCGCAAGCTGAACGAGAAACCCCTGATCCCTGAACCTTAAGAAGCCTTCGGAAGCGAGCGGCCAGCTCTTCCACACGCACGCGAGCCGTTTTCAGCTCCTTCTGGGCAGCCTCTTGCCGGTTCTCGGCCTGGCAAAGCTTTCGAAAGGCGAAGCTTTTGGTGCTTTAGGGCTTTTGGTGGCTTAGGATTTAGAGCTTAGGTAGGGTGGAACAGCTTCGCCCGTTGAATGATGATAGGGGTTTCTGACACAATCTAGGGTATCTGCTGCCCCGGTGGAGGTGAAAATCGCTGTAGTAATTGTTCCAGAACGCTTCCCCTAGAGAACTAAAGTAACCCCGAATCAGGAAGCCGTTTTCTATATGTAAGGCCCCTCCCTATTCATCACTTCTAGTGCCCTTGTATCCTTACAGTCTTCGCTGCTCGATCCCTTCAACCGAACCCCTCGTCTGATTCTTAGGGCCCCCTTTTTACAGCCCACCTGAAAAGGGGTGGATGGAGAGGAAGAACCTAAACCTTCCAAGATCCCTGAACCATGGGAATACACCTTCAAACTAGAGTAGAAGAGCTTAGGGTTTAGGGTTAAGGGCTGAATCCCTAGTCACTAGTCATTTAAAAATAGATTCCTTCATGGGCCCTTCATGAAATCATCTTGGAGAGTCTGGGAGGAAGCGCCTTGCCTTGTCCAGGGCGCGTTCGGCGGGACTCCGGCTGCCGAAGGCCCAGTTCCTCGGTTTCAGGGCTTTGGCTTTCTGGGGTTCCATGTTCTCAAGGCTTTCGCGGTGCCTTTTACGGATTCTTAGGGCTTAGGCTCTGTGGGGGTTTCTGGTTTTGAAGGCTTTCTAGTGTTTTTTTTGTTAGCTAAGGTTCCTTTGTGGCTTGGGCTTCGGGCTTGTAGGGTCCAATAGCGGTATGACAAGCAGCCAAGAACAGCACTACCTTAATCATTCACGAAACAAGAACATAAAGAAAAATGAGAGTATTCCTCGTGTGAAAAGAAGCCCTCCTTCATTTCGTCGGACACAAAAACACATCCGGGAGTCGGCAAAGGAGGGCTGACTTGGGTTCCGTTTCCTTGAAACCATCCCCTTGGCAAGATAGGGGCTCCCGAGATCCTCTTAAGTCTTATCCTGCATGGGAGAAGTGCCCTGAACTACCTCTCCACAACAACTACAAGCAGCACATGAACACACATCCACATCCCCAGCTTCATCAGCACGCATCATCATCACCGTTGTCTTCCTCCTCCTCATCAGCAGCGTCCATCAGCACGGCCATGCTCATCCCGAATCGCCATGCTTGTCGTGATGATGCTCTAGGTTGGCCCCTCAAAGCCTCTGAAAAATATTCGTAAAATAAGATCCTCTTAAGCCCAAGAAGGGAAAATATAAAATGTCCCAAAGGCCTACCTATTTCTGATCTCCAACGAGGCTCCGGAAGTTCTGCCATTTCTCGCCCCATTTCCTCTTCACTTGCTCCCAGAACCCCGAGCCACTGCTGCGGGACGCCGACGGTGACGGAGAACTCCTGAGGAGCCGAGGGGGGGTCCCAGGGAGGCCTGCAGGGGTTCAGGGTTTGGGGTCTGCTTCCTTTCAAGCTTTTAGGAAAAACACAGCTTTAGCCGTTTAAGGCTTCCGCAGCTTATCCGGAGCTTCTGGGTGCAGTTTAGCGCTTGCGATCTGCGACTTCGGCTCAGACTCTACCAGGCGAAGATGTATGCTCGCAGTCAGCAAAGCCACCACCACACCCATGGACATCCCCCTCTAAGGCGCTCAAAGAGCAAACTATCGTCGGAAGACTAAAGGAACCACCAATGCTGGTGACAGGATAGGGTGAAGCTTTTCAAGATCTCCGGCCGGGGGACGCTGGGCTCGCCGGCTCGTTGTCGTCATCCGGGAAGTCGGGCGCATCCTTCCGAGCAAAAAAAAAACAGGGGGCAAGACCTTCATCCTTAAACTCCAGGCCCTAAGCCCTTTTTTTAATCAGGCTTGACTGGTGCTCGCCTGGCCAGATTCCCCGCAGAGATGCTCAAGGCTGAGTATGCACCATCTTCACTGCCCTACGACCTAGCCGGTCGGATACGACGCTGTTGAAGGAGGTGAAAAACTGGTGTTCCTGACAGGTTGAGTCATGAAGCCCTAAGCCCTAAACCCCACGAGGTGTGGGGCTCTCGGCCACCAGGTGCTCCGGAAGGAGCCCGCCGTCAAAGAGCTGGGAACCCAGATCGAAAGAACAAACGCTCAAAGGTCGCAAACTCCAAAACCACTCGGGGGAGTGCCATTTCCATCCCAGAAGTGTGCAGAGCACTCTCGCGAGGGCACGGTTTGGGAAGTTTGAGAGCACCAACCCCCTGTGTTTTATCATGACTGGGACTTAGTAAGTTAAGGTTACAACCAACTCTGTTTGAGTTCTAAGCAGCCTATAACCATAGTTACCTTCCCTTTAACATCGGGGTCCGTCCTTGAGCACCTCGTCGAAGTCGTCGGCCTGGCGACTCTGGAGCTTTTGGTCCAACGTTTAGGGCGTAGGATTTAAGGTTTAGGGTTTTAGGGGTTTGGGTTTAAGGGTTTGGGGGTTTAGGGGTTTAGGGGTTTAGGGGTTTAGGGGTTTAGGGGTTTAGGGGTTTAGGGGTTTAGGGTTTAGGGGTTTCCGCACTGATAAGTGGAGACCATCCCAGACTCCAAACTCAGCAGCTTCTGATCCACCGACGCATCGCGCATGCAGCATGCCCAACTTTATCGTTGAGGCACTAAGGCTTCAGGATTTGGGTAGCTCTCTACATTAGGGTGCCTTTTAGGGTCCTTCATACAAGGGTGTCGTACTGTCTTGGGGGACCGAAAAAGGAGCCTTGTTTAGAGAACTACCCAGTTTTTCCCACCCGCCCCCTTGGTCTGTTGCCCTGAAGTCTCCAGGGCTTGGGCTTACGTTTTGGAGCTTTTTGTTCCCACCCGCCCGGCTGACCATGTCGGTGCCGTTTTGAGCTTAGGATTTTGGGTTGCGCAGGGGCCCCAGAAGTCTTTTGGCTCTTTATGGGAACGTCCCCAAAAAAACAGCGGAGAAAGGCCAGGCAGGATGCACCTCAGCCAGCACCTTCTCAGCGCCATCCATCCACTTGCCTCACTTACATTGTAGGGCCTATGCAAGGGTTCAGAATATGCTAGGGCGTAGGGTTTATACCAGGGTTCAGGTCTGGAAGTAGACTTACGTTTTCCCAAACAAAGCCTCCCACATGCCCAAACCGAACCCAAACCGAGCAAACCTGGAACCCTCAAGAAACCGAGCGGCATTTTGTTATGCATCAGAAGCTCAGCCGAAGCCATAGAGCATCGTAAACCCTAAACCCTATAAACCCCATAAACCTTAAACCCTAAACCCTAAACCCCTAAACCCCTAAACCCCATAAACCCTAAACCCTAAACCCCTAAAACCCCTAAACCCCATAAATCCTAAACCCCATTAAACCTATAAAGATGTTGCATCCTGAACCTGAAAACTCGGATGCGCAGGGCGGCTGTACTCGGAGACCTCCGGCTTCGCCTCCGATGCCTCCTTAGCTGTCCAGGCTCTGCCTTCTTATCGGTTTAGGGCTTAGGCTTTAGGGTTTAGGGTTTAGGGTTTCGGGTTTTGGGTTTCGGGTTTATGGTCCAGGGTTCAGGGCTTATAAGCTTAGGGTTTTTCCCTTAGGGTTTAGGGCTTAGGGCTTAGGGTGTAGGGTTTCAGCACTCACTCTCGGACTTGCCTTGGCGAGGCACCTGGCACGACGAATGCCCATTGGCGCAGCAACAGCATGTATAGCCATGGCAAGAACATTATCCTGTACCGTAATATTTCACTGGACTTACCCTTTTTTGTTTCACCACCCTTTGCAAAGGTCGAGGCTATAGTCCTCCAAGCTCACTTGGCTGCTTGCCTCTGTTCCCGGACCAGCTCTTGGATCATTCGAAAAACCATGATGGCACTTGCCACCGCCGCAATGCCTGCAGTTGCGAAATGATCGACTGCTGAGTGGGTACCGAGTGCCCCCAGTGGAACTCATTTGCAAGCAAAGTGGACACACTTGTGACTATCACCACCGCAGCGAAGAGCAACCAGATTTCGATCCAGTTCCACTCCGGCGAGTGGTAAGGGGCTGCCTAGGCATTGTGGTTTTGGTGTCGCTGTTTCTGTACTGCCGCTACAGGCAGTACAGAAACAGCGACACCAAACACACAATGCCTAGGCAGCCCATTTGCAACGCTGGCGAGGAGTGGATGGGCAGCAAGGCACCGATGAAAGTGAAGAGCGTCTTCCTGATCAAGCGCTCCGTCTCGAAGAGTGCGTATCTGCGCTTGCTGGTGAGGAAGACCACGTGGCTGGGTTTGGGATCCTCCTCGGATGTGGAAAAGCTGAGCCATGTCCAAACAGCGGCGACCATGAGCAGACTGAAGCCCCCCACCACCTGCGTCGCACTGGCGAGCCCAGCACCTCCAGGAAGGAAAGGGCAGTTGAGGCCCTGGAGCCCGGAGACGTCATCTCGCCGCAGGCGGTAGCACACCAAGTACTTCCCGAAATCGGCAGCTATTGTGGGCAGGAAGCAGTTCATGCCTGCGATGAGCGCAACACGAGAATCCTTCATCAAGGACAGCGATGAAATGAGCCCGGCTGCCACAACGATATCCAACAGGTGACTGCCCCATAAGGTCTTCTCGTAGCCGAGGTAAGACAAAAGACACTGTGAGGAGGCGCTGCGTACAGATCCTTGTCCGGAAGCTGCCTCGGCGGTGTGCACAGCAGCGTTGAAGAAGAAATTCGCGGCATCGCTTTTGATGTTCTTCGCCGTCTGTGTCTGCAACACGGCAGCCAGGATCGTGTTGGAGATCGTGGCGAAGGCCATCAGCTGGTTCAGGTAGATGCTGCTTTGCTTCAGGTCCCCAGCCTTCTTGGCTCCAAAGGCGCTCAGAGCTCCGATTGCAAAAAGGAAGGCGCGCTGAGACAGGAACGTGCTCCACTGCACCGCCTGCACACGACGGTCTTTGCTGCAGGCAGTGCACGAGAACACACTGCTGTCCGCCATGGCGTGCTCATCGCTGCAGTTCGTGCAGCTTTGGCCCCGGTAGCCATCTGCGCACATTGCCAGGCGCACCCTGCCCTGGGATACTTCGCTTTCAGGGTAGGCAGCCTGCTGCGCTTGACATCCTCCAATTCCACCATGAGCCTGCCTGGCCAGCGAGCTGAAGATGGANNTCCATCTTCAGCTCGCTGGCCAGGCATTTGGAAGCCCCTTCGGGGCGCTCGTCACGTTCAGAACCTGCGTGTCCCCTAGCTTGCATGCCAGGCATCCGAAATCATGCAAACCTTCGAAATCCACCCACCCTGTGCCCAAGCGGCACAGGAAGCCGGCCCTTGTGGCGGCGTTCGCATAGAAGGTGCAAGCGGAGGTGTTCGCACAATTCATCGCGTCTTCGAGAGAAAGGTTGTGTGCTGAGATGTAGATGCCGGAGCTCGACTCCATACTCAGGTGAACGGAGCCGAGCTTCAAGAGGCCTGAGACTGCGATGTCGTTGACGTTGCCTTCGCTGCCCCTCAACAGTGAGAGCTCCTCGAGTCGAAGTTCCGCTTCTGTGCCATAGGCTGCAATTGCAGCCAAGGCAGCTGCAGTCATGTCAGCATCGCAGCGATCGAAAACCAGCTTTCTAAAGTGTCCTAGGCCGCCAACCATGTAAAGCCCGCCGCCCGTGCCGCTGGCATTGCACTCCTCGAAAGCGAGCGAACCGTCGTGATGTACTGTGCCGCCGGTGATACTCGGGCCGCCACCTGTACGTGCCCGGCATGCCTTGAAGTGCATTGAACCGTTGCTGTTGAGGTCTTTGGTTGCAACACCGCCTCCTTCCGCCACATCGCACTGCAGCTGCGGAAGATGGCGGAGCTGTTGGGGCCCTGTGTGAAGTCAACCTCCACGCGTGCACCTCCGCCGAAACCAGAGCCCGTGCAGTTCTCGAAGGTCACCGTGCTTTCTGCTTCTCGGGAGAAGCTGCCGCCAGCGGTTCTCGAACTTGACGACGCTGTTGCTGACGATAAAGCCTCGCTGGATGAACAGAGCTCCGCCTTCTCCGTCCTGCATTCTGTTTCTGCAGCCAACGAAGCTGGCGTTCGCGGCAATCACAGTCATCTTTCCGTTCACTTTGATACAGGATCCTTCCAGCTCCTGCTCCCGCATGATCTGTATCTCACCTTCCAAGGCAATTGCAATTTGGTCTTGACGGGTGAGAATCTCACCCGTCAAGACCAATTGCCTTGGAAGGTCAGCATCTCCTTGAGGGTCACCTGCAGCCCTGGATTTCCATGCCAGGTGCTGGTGCTGAAGATGCGTGCCGTGTCAATGACGTGGCTGCCATTGTGCCGAAGTCCATCGCAGTGAGAGTATTCGGCTGATTCGCCTGCCAGAAAAGCCGCACCCGCCTCGACAGGAGCTGCCGCACGCAGCACAGGCTCGAAGTCTCGGACCATCGAAGCCTCCGCAATTGGGCGGGCATCTCGAGGCGTTACCTCTGTTTCCAGGAGCTGCTGCACCTCTTCTCGTGAGGGGCGGAAGGCGCTGCCGGTGATCCACAGGCACCTTCGCCACGGTCCTTCTGGGGCTGTGGATTCCACAGCGCCAGAAGGACCGTGGCGAAGGTCACGGCGCGGGCCATGAGCCAGAGACACGGAATGCGCACGCCGGCTTCAAGCCGGAGAGCTTATGAAGTCAAACAACGGAGCCATGAGCTCTGCCTCGGAGCCAGCAGGGTTTAGGGTAGGGTTTAGTTGCTCTTCATGTGACTACTACTATTGCTAGTTATACTAGCATTTTTTTCTCATTCCGCGTATAAAGACGCCACCATAAGGCCCCCCTCTGAAGGTAGCGCTCCGTAACCCGGAAGCACGGATCTGGCTGCAGCTGCTCCGAGTGGGCGCAGAACTCCGGGAGGGGAGGGGGTCCCGATCTCCCAGAAGCCGACCCCAGTCCAGGGCTTAGGGGTTTACTTCCGCCTACTGCGACCTACTTACTTGCAGGTCCCCTGTGATGTCATGTTACTGCTCGAAGATAGGAACCCACAAAAAAGTTGGTGTTTGGTAGGTTCAGGTACGGCTTTGGACACAAAGCTTCACGTGCAACAACGTATGCTATTGCAAAGAAGACCTGGGCAGTTCTTTAGACATGTTAAGGCGTTGCTATACTGACATCGGAAACTTCTTTAAGTAGGGCCCAGGACAAATCTCGAACTGAATTCTCCAGGTGCGCCCAAGCTTCCTCAAGCACCTTCTCGGCACCATCCATCCACTTGCCTTGGGTTCAGGGTTTAGGGTTACAGGTTTGGGGCGCAGACAACCGACAGGAAACCCCAAGAGCCCATATACCGTAAAGTAAAACAAATTATATTCAGGATCCCTATGGTTTCAGGTGAACTTTGAGGCTCCCTGTGGTTTGAGGTGAAATCCCTAGCTCACTGACTAGGTGCTTTAGAAACCAGAGTCGGGATCCCCCTCGACCTTGCAGCAAGCGACTCGAGAAACGGAAATTGAATCAGAATGCTGGTTCAGAGTTTAGGGTTTCCGGCGCCCCATCCCAGCTCTTTGGCGCAGAGGCGCTGTATTCGGACACGACCGGCTTGGCCTCAGCTGCCTGCGCAGCCCGCGAGGGCTAGGGCATTAAACCTTTTGGGTTGCTCCTGGTGTTTTTCTTACTTCCCCAATAAGGCAGGGAAATAAAAGGTTAAACTTTCGGGTTACTACGAAATTATAAGAGTCCAAAAAGCTTATAAAGGTTGGGTATTGGTGCGGTTTCGAGCCCCGGGCTTGTGATGTCTGAAGGGCCCATAGCCGGCTAAGAGCGCAAAGTAGGGGAAAAGGGCCCTCTCAATCCAATCCAACAGGCCCAGACAGTGAAGCTCCAAAGCCCACTAAGAATCCCAAGAGGCCTGCAAGGAGATCCCAAGAGACCCCCAATGAGATCCCAAGGCGCCGCCTCTTTCTCCTCGGCCTCCGCGGCTTTCACCTGGGACTCGAAGGCCTCCTCGAGGAAAATGTGCTGTTTTCTGAGGGTTTCGACTCTCACGCTCGCTCACAGCAGGCAAGGCTGAACATTTTGAGGGTTTGGGGTTTAGGGGAAGAGGGCTCTAGTAGCGCTTTGTGTGTTTAAGGGCTCTCTTTTTCTTCCTTAGCTCCGGTCTTCCAAGGTTTAGGGTGGGGCTTCGGGTCGAGGGTTCAGGGTTGAGGCTTCGGAGTTCAGGATTCCACAAGATTTCTAAAAGGAGTTGTGGGACAAGGCTCTGTAGGTTTCATACCGGACCTTGTCAGGGCACTGTGGGGTTTAGGGGTGCCTTAAAGATCGTGGACGAGGTATAGGCTATAGGGCTTATTGAAATCACAGACTAGCACTCTGCTGAGTTCTACTTGTTCCTTCGGGCCGTCCAGGTGAGGGCATAGACGATCATGTAAGCACGGCAACGTAGGTCAGAAGGCAGTTCCAAAAAGCTGGTTCCAAAAAGCTCGATGCAGAAATCTTCGGGAGGAGCTGCTGAGGGTATTTGCCACCCGGCATAGCAACCCTTATGGTTGATCCGTGTAGAACCCTTTAGAGACCCTTTTTGGGAACCCTTGTGCCCCTAAACCCTAGACCCTACTTAGGGCAACTTTGAGGATTCCGCCCCCTGGATCTTGGGGTGACCCGATGCTCCTGCACCTCGTCGGCCGGACTCTGGGCTGCTGAGGCGTTGTCCTGTGTCCTGGGATCCCATGGCCCAAACCCCAAGGGCTCCTTCAAGGCTTGCTACAAGGGTTGTCTGTCGCTGCCTGAAGACTTCCACTCTGCTGGGATATGATCGGGCTTCAAGCTTGGGCCCGTTCTGTTGTGTTGTGGTGCGGCCATTATAAGAAGGAACCTATACGGCTACTAGTGTCTACCCTTGGTTCGTCGAACAAAGCCCTGCCTGCTGCTGCGCTCTTTTTCAGGCTTGGTCCATTGCTGGTCCAGTTGTCGATGCTTCATGTGGGGTGTTGGGGGTGTAGCCTTTAATGGGTCAGTCATCCTCAGTCCTCGCACGACATGACTTCAGAAGGCGATACGAAACCTGCCGCTCGCCTAGCCCCACAAGAAGCAACTGACTACCCACACAGCAGCCAGGCCGGAAGCGATGTCAACGTACACAGGCGAAAACGTTCGAACCCAACCGAATACAAGGACAACTCCTTAAAATGCCTGAGCCCTCCTGAGCGCAAGAACTTTCATAAACTTTCATCCCAACAAATGCATCCAAACAAAAAACTCGCGCTCGCCAGAAGTTCCCCTCCGAAGCTTGGGTGTTTAGCGATGCTTGGGGTTTAGGGCTCTTTGGGATCGCATTCTCCAAAGAATACTTATCCCATAAGGGTTCCTCATCATAAGTGGACTACATCCTACCCCGACACCCTTTTCCAATCAACAAGGCCCCTACAGTGTAGAACCCTTATAGCAACCCTTATAATTCCCTTTTGTTACAGGAACCCTATTCCAAATAACCCTTTTTGATAAAACCCTAAGCCCCGATTATCAGCGCCCCTCTTTCGTCCCAGCGGCGCGTTCGCCGCGCTCTGCGCCGCGGCCTCTGCCGCCACGGCGCGCTTCGCGTCGTCGAGTCGGGCCGTGGCCTCCTCGGAGGGCGTTTGCAAGAGATTAGGGTTTAGGGTTTATAGGGGTTAAGGTGTACAGGGTGTAGGGGTTTCGACACTCACACTCCCACGCAGCAGGCAAGGCTCTCATGGTTTAGGGGTTTAGGGTTTAGGGTTTAGATTCTTCAATGGGTGTTTGAGGGCTTTTTTTAAGATGGTTTTAATTGTAGAAAGGTTTGACAAGCTGCCTACGGATTAGTCTTTTTGGATTTGTTGACAGGGCTTGCAAGGGTTTGCACGGCCTTGACGCTTGGTACACTTCTCGATTTGAGTGCAGGGCTTAGGGCTTTGAGACTGTTGAAGAGTTTTCCGATAGAGTGCTTTACTCCAGGGCTCTGCAATTTCTTGAGGGCCGCCAGCGTGCTCTTATGTTAGTGGTCTTCATCGGGTTTCATGACCCTTCAACGCGTTTAGGCTTCGATCGTTTTGAACCAGTAGGCTTGGCAAGTATGCTAACCGTAGGGTTATAAGTCCGACAACTCCAATTTAAAAAGTTAAAAACCCGACTTGTGGTTCCTCAAGGAAAGCTTGTGGGCTTGAGGTTCTGGTGTTTCAGCTGTCACAACTGGGACAATAATGGGGACTGCCTGTCCGAGCAGAAGAGATGGAAAACCGTCACTGTTCCTCAGGGTCCAACCGGCCCGCTCAACCCCTTCCAACAAAAAACACTGTAAACACCGGAAGTAGAAAGCCCGCGAACAAACGGTCGGTCCTGCACTGCGCCTTCCAGCCCTGGGAGCTGTGCCTCTCAAGCTGGGTTTTGGGTTTCGTTAAAGTTTACGGAGTTACCGGTTACTTATCGGTTTAGGTTTGAGGGTTTTGGGGTCAAGGGTTCAGGCTTCAGATGCGAAGCATAAGCTGCCTGTAGCATGCATGTCGAGCCCACTTGAGCTTGTGGGGCGATGTATGAAAGAGGTTCAAGGTGTCAAGAAGGACCTACGAAGATTTTTCAGATCTTCCCAGATGTGCGAACGAAGGAAGGTTCTTTCATGCCATGTTCTGGGCCCTCCCTCCCTCCCTCCCTCCCTCCATTCATCCATCCGTGCATTCATTCAGTCTCTGAATAACAGTGTTGGAAGTAAGCACGCAAGCGCACATGACTGCTGCCATAAACTAATGACTTGATTCATTCCTCGGTTAGTTGCAACACACGAAAGAATCAGAAGGCTAACCACTATCATCATCAACATATGCATATAGACATAGGTGTATGCATGTCATACACATGCACATATAGGTATGGGCGAAGGTAGATATATACATTATACATATCGATATAGACGTAGACATAGGCATGGACATCGATATACATTATACATGTACGTTTACATTTACATGCAAACAGACAGACAGACAGACAGACAGATAGAAAAATAGACAGATAGACAGATCTATGGATAGATCGATCGATAGACCCGATCGATAGGCCAATAGATAGATAGATAGATAGATAAATAGATAGATAGATAGATAAATAGATAGATAGATGAACAGATAAATACATAGATACATAAACAGATAGATAGATAGACAGATAGATAGATAGACAGATAGATAATTAGATAGATAGATAGATAGATAAATAGACAAATAGACCAATAGATAATTAGATAGATAGATAGATAAATAGATGGATATAGAGATAGATAGACAGATAGATAGATAGACAAATCGCTCTCCCTCTCTCCCGGCTCCTGGAGCTTCCGAAGCTCCTCCTCAGCTTTGAGCCTCTCGGCCTGGGGCCCAGGCAGCAGTGGCTTTTCGCTTGGGCTCTGAGGGGTTTGGTGGCTTTTTGCCTGAGGCTTCAAAAAATTTTAGGGCTCTGCGAGCTTTCGACAGCTTCTGAACGGGTCAAGAAGGGTTTTAGGCTTTCGGCGCTTACTCTCGGCCTGTCCACGCGACGAGTGTTGGGGTTTGGGGCAAACGGATGTTCTTTTACGGCCAGAAGGCCAAACGGGACACGCTGCCACTCACTCCCAAGCACCGAGGTGGAGGCCTTAGGGTTTAGGGTTTAGGCCCCCGTGCCTTGGCGGTGCTGATGAGGCTCTCCCGCTGCCTCTGATGCGAGGTTGTGGAAACGGCTCTGAAGGCTTCTACACTAGAGCTCCGCATTCAAATCAAGCTAAACCTGGGCCCTCATACGAGAAGTTCTGAAACGCCTAGACGACTCCTAGCAAACCCCGCCAAACCTTTCTCAAAAACTCTGATACAGGGAAGCCTTAATAATTCGGGGTGTGTACTAACATCATCATACAAGGGCTCTGAGGGGATGTCAGTATCTCTTCCGTCCCCGGTGTTGGGAGAGAAGTTGCTTAATGCCCGCATGGAGGTCGGCAATCTGTCGGCTCCGTTCTTTGCGGAGAGCTCGGCCCTCCTCGCAAAACCCAAAGGCTCTCATTTTACAGGGTGTTGAAAGAATTATTTACAAGCTACAAGGTTTGAGATGGCTCCTTGCATGTCTTGTAGCGTTCTATGGGGAGGTTGGGTGTACTGTAGGCAGAAGCCATATGGTTGCTCTACTTACAGAGGTATCCTCACATGATCTGAAGTTAACATGTCTGCATGTAGGTATATACATACATACCTACATACATATACATACCTACATACATATACATACCCACATACATACATGCGCACATACATACATACATACATACATACATACATACATGCATATATACATACATACATACATACATACATACATACATACATATGCATACCGATCTAGAACACTTACATTTGCTGACAAGCGCTACTTACCCTCCACGAAGGTATAGGCTCAAGGGGGGAAGCCCTGCTAGAAGGTTTTGTTTGGCCTGCACAACTGTAAACAATGACCATGATCATTGGAGGCCCAACCGGGAGCATGGATTTCGGTTGAAGGGTTTGGCTCGGGGTCTGGGCTTAGAGCAGGATTTGCAGATAGGGTTTCGGAAGCGGGATCCCACATGCCGAGTCCACTGATGCACTGAATCGCTGTCACTCAGCTACAGCACTTCATCAGCCCGAAAACATCCCTGGCCAGCAGAAAAGCAGAAACTGAACACTCTCCTCTGCACAGGTGTTGGGGCAACTGATCTGTCTCCGCTCAGCCTGCCGTGTGCAGCATGGGAGGCTTCGTACCAGCAGGGGTTTGCCCGCTGGCCTCTCCCGGTTGAGCAGCTTTTGTTCGGAGGGCGCGTCTTCTGTGAGCCAGGAAGAACCAGTTCGCTTGAAGATTCATGAATCCTTTCTGCGGGAGCCCTCAGGAAATAGGATGAGTTAGGGCTCTCCGTCGGGTTCTTGGGATAATCTGAACTCAGTCATAGTTAATACATAATTCACTTTCGACTCACTCTGAACCTGAGTGGCCAGTCCCCCGACCCTTGAAGTAAGCCCTTCAGCCCTTCAGTCATGGCCTGCCACTCATCGCTGCCATCGCAGCAGTCGCAGACGCCATCGTTGACTCTCGAGGCGTAGATGTACAGTGGGTCGCTCTGCTCGTTTGTACCTCGGGAAGAAACGGAAGTAGCACCTGGGAGCGCAGTCCGCAGATAGAACCCACCGTCCAACCTGTGTCTGCAACCCCGAGACAGAGCAGATCCAGGCAAGGAAAACGACACCAGCAGCACCTTTGTCCTTGTCAGTACATGCTCTGATCCAAAGATCCCAACATCAACGCAGAAGCCTACGACCTGAACCCACGCCAACGAATCATAACCCCAACTTGACCCTCAAGGCCGTCAAGGCCCTTAGCCCAAAAAATCTCTGGGAAACCCGGCAGTAGTACAGCGTGCTGCTCAAGCCCGCGCAGGCTTCCTTCGTCTGGGCTTTGGCTTCCGCTACGACGGAGGGAACTCCAGAAGTTGAGGGCCGAAAGGCAGGCCCGGTTGATGATAGAAATCCTGCATTACCTTGAGGGCCCTAAACTATGGGAATTATGGTATATTCCGTACTTTGGGTAATGCAGGATTTATACCATCAGCCCTAGTGCAAGATCGGGTCCCTGAGTCGGATCTTCGAGCCTTAAGGGTTAAAGGGTTTAGGGCATAAGGCTAAAAATAGGCCCCTTCGGGCAGATGCTTTCTACAAGGGTCTTTGCCAGCGCTTGGGCTTCGGTTGCGGAAAGCAGCCTCCCAGCTTCCCTACGGCCGTTGAGTGAGGAACTCAAACCATAGCTCAAATGATAGAGGGGTTGATACGGTTGACGATATAAATCCTGCATTACCCATAATCAGGAATTTGCCGTAATTCGCATAGTTTAGGGTCCTTGAGGTAATGCAGGATTTCTATCATCAAGAGTATGAGTTTGAGGCAGAATTCCTTCAAAAGGGATGAATTGGGAGCTTGAGAACCCCAATGTCTATACCTTGGATATCCAGAATCCTTCCCCAAAGGACCCCTACTTGGAGGTTCATGTGGTAGTTATAAGTACGGTTATAAGCCCCCTAATATGGGTTAGAACTATAGTTGCCTTACTTATAACCCTACTTATCGTAGTTACAAGTTATAAGTATGGTTGTAAGTCCCTGAATATGAGGAGCGGCCGTGCCGGGCTCGTCGCTGCCATCCTTCCAAGGGGGCTTTGGCTGGATAGGGTTTAGGGTTTAGGGTTCAGGGTTTAGGGTTTAGGGATCCTTCCAAGCGGGAGGTGAGGAGGCTCGGGAAGGAGTGGTGTTTCGCGTTTGGGTTTTGTCTAAACGCCCTCTTCTTGGAAGAGGGCTTCGAATGGGTTCGAGGAGGTACGTTATACAAGAGCTACAAAGGGAACTATATGGGAAAACTAGTATTAAGTACGCCGACCCTGCATTACACCCTGATGGCTGAGGGTCTGCTTCAGGACGCATAGATACCTAGCAAAAACGTGTAGTGCTGCAAACCTTATTCGGTGCGATGGCTAACTTTTGTGACAGCCACCGTACCGTGCGCAAGCACCCACGAACCTGTCGATCATTCGAAGTTCTGATTCTAGATTAAAGTTCTCTTTGCTGCCCTGGCATGCTGCAAGGGCCCAATCGGCAACCGCAAAAAAAAAATCCGCGATTCAGCATCAAGATTCGCAGTACTTCGGATGCGTCAACCCTCCAACCTAAATCCTCAATGCGAAAGCCTCCATTCAATGGAGAGATACATGGGCTGCCTCGCAGTCACAGAAGTCGTCGTTCACCGCCTCGGACGACAGCTGCCGGCCATCACCTTCGCAGTTGCAAGGCAAGGGTTGCTAAAGGCTAAAGGCTTTGAGGCTTCTTCTATGTCACTTTGTTTACGGCCAGACGCTCAGACTCGCCAGATCTGATCAGGGCTTCTTGCTCAGGGTCCTGATTTAAGCTAGTGTTTTGCTTTGCCCGCGGGCATGGCTAGGTGTTCTGCTCACATCGCAGTCTTCGGTTTAAGTTGTTTAGCTTCGGGCTCCGAGTTGAGGCCCTCAATTTCATCCAGATAATTGGGTGCGAAGCTTCGCCGTTCAACTTCGGGAGACCACGCCACAAAGACCCCTGACTAAGCGATGTGCAAGCAACCTGAGGCTAAGACCCTCAACATTCCTCAACCCCAAACCCTAAACCTCTAACATGTACAACTTTCTGCGCTTTTTCGTGGTTTTCGCGCCTTCTACCCTGGTCTGAGTGAATATGAAAAATTTCGTGCCACAAGGAGCCTCCTTTCAACAGCAGCTGGGGCCCAGGCAGGCGAAAGTGGCAGCAGCGTACTGGGCCTGCAGGCACAAAAGTCCGGCGCGATGCCGCTCGCACAATGGGCCTACTTGGAGGTTCATGGGTAGCTTTAGTGGGGTTCAAAGTAGGGTGTCTTTAGTTATAACCCACCGTAGGGGACTTTATAAGTAAAGCATTTTTTGTAAAGTCTTCCAATTGATTCCTGGAAGGAGTGCCAGGACCAAAGAGGGCTATCCTCCGCCGCAAGACCTCTGCTCTCAGCGTGCAGCCGTGGTGTTTTGAAGAGGCCTACTGTAAAGCCCGGCAAAATCCATCCCTTTCATTGCAACCCTGAATATCAGGATCTCTGATGGGAACTCTTAGTAAGGGAGTGTGTTGACCAACGAGGCATTTTGCTTGCCGCTCACGTTGCATCTACGCTGAAAATCATGGGAATGCAGTATGACATTCTATTCACCCGGCTCAACTCTACTCATGAGCTTTTGAAATAAGCACCGCAGCAAAAAGTACCAGTTTGAAAGCCAATAAGATCCGGCCGACAGATTACCTCAACGACGAGACCTCCAGCTGCTGTGCACACACTAGCAGCCTGCTCTGCGGGCGCGACTCCACCTGAATCTGAAACCAGGAAAAACCGGGTGCAACAGTTAAGGGTTTAGAGCTTAGGGGTTCAGGGCATAGGAGTGAGGATTGTCAGACCTTTAGACCATCAGGGGTCTTGCTTCAAGATACCGGATTGGAGACCTTTGCTCAGCTGCTAAGACCAAGGGCCAAGGGCCAGAGCCGGGAAGGCTAACCTAGGGGCTTTAGCGGTTAGAATAGTGTTCCTTCTTTATGGTTCCCTATGTAATGTATTTATGCCTAGAGTAGTGTTGCTTTGGGGTACCCTGATGAATGTATGCAATAATATACCCCCGATTCCTGTTCTATCCTCACCATTCCTGCCGTGCTGCCACGTCACTTCTAGGGCCTGCTGGGTCAGCTCGAAAGCCCCAAGTCGTCAACCCCACCGAACCCTTATTTCTCGGCTTTAGGGTTTGGTGGTTAAGGTTCAGGGTTTAAGGCACCCTTTTCCTAAGCCCTCAACCGCAAACAAACCCCCTCAAAATCCTAACAGCCCGATGCCCGAAGATTCTCGTAAAGTATCCATAAACTCCCCCCCCCTTTTTGCTACAGGCCACGTTGTTCAGCAGCCCCCAGTCTAGCCAAACACACACTCTCCTAACCCGAACAAACCCTCCAAGGGATCCCGATGTTAATCAGCAGTGCCTGTAAAGCCATATAAACCACTAGAGCTATCTAGAGCTCATTGAAGAAACAATATACAATATAAATAAACACACCCTGATTCCTAAAGCCTCTATGAAACCCCGGCTGAAAACCATCGTAAAGAGAGAGACACCCCTTCGCTTCCTTGCAGCCCGGGCCGCGGATTTCCGCTTCGGCGGAGACCAACAGCGCCGCGGCCAGGGCCCGGGCCATTTGGGAAATTGATGCGAATCCCAGACCCCTTCAACTAGCGAATACCTCAACCCTTCAGAAGCTCCAGTTTTTAAGCGGGTGCCTGATGATGATTTCCAAACAAACTCTTTAAACTGGATAGTTTGTTCAAGATTCCCGCATAAATCAAGGGTCTATGACCCGAGGTGCATTCCTTAATCAAAGCTTTTGAAGTCTCCTAGATCCCTTAGGGCTGACGGGCTCCATCAGAGTGCCAGAAGGCTTTACGTAAGGGCTTACACGGATTTAGAGGCTCCTCAATGCAGGAATGTGGTGGAAGTACAGTTGGCAGAGGGAACCCAGCGCTCCTTCCTGGGTTCAGGGCAAGGAAACACACAGGGCCTTAAGCATGATAAGAGAAGGCCGTGGCCTGCTAGAGCTAGCTATGCAGGGAACCCGTCTGACCGGCTCTGCGCGGAATTGAATCCTGCTGTGGTGTCGGGAGGCGTGACTTAGCTCTTCTGATACCACGGCGCATGGCCCGTCAAGGAAGAGAAACGGCCGAAACGCAAGCCTTGAGCTGAACATGCAATGACCTGGGGTTGGTAGGAATGCCCTTTCAAGAGTGTACATCCTAAGTCTCAACAGCACTAAACTCACTAAATCCCACAGCTCTTCTTTGCATAGTCTGCTTCTGGTCTGCAGCAACTCAACCAGGACAGAAACAAGATGCACAACCGCAAGCAGCACAGCTTCCCCTAAACCTCAGCTCTTAAGCTCAAGCCGCGAAACCGAAAATTTGCATCCTGGGAGAAGCTTTAGGGCCCAGTCGAAGGAAAGAAGAAGTCATGTTTCGGGGTTTATTTAAGGTAACCTCGGGTTTATGACCCTTCAGGTTCAAAGGCCTTTGAGGTTCTGGGGCATACGGCCTTCCTGAGCTATGCGTGGGACCGTGAGGGCTCCTCTTCGCGCAAGTGCCGCACCAGCTTCAGGAACTCGCCCTGCACCGCGCTTGGGGGCTGGAAAGCTTTGTTTTTTTTGCTCCAGGCTTGGACCTGATTTGCCAACTGGCATCTTATCTCAATGCCAGTTTTAACAAATGCAGCTCCTTTAACAACCGACCCAAAAAAAACAGATGCACTCAACACTATCCTCAAACATCAGGCTAAAGCAGGCCACACTGGACCCGCCGAGGAAAGCAGCTCAGAAATCAGGCCGACAGATCACAGGAACACCCCGACTACGACTAAACCAGAAGTCTACTCACAGCCTCTGCTCCTTTTGAGCTGCTCTGATAGCGTTTTTGGGGGTTGGGCTTCGGTGCAGGCTTTCGACTCTCTCGCGCGACCCCAGGTCACACAGGGCACGACAGATCCACCGACAAGAGCGGCACCGACACGGTGGCGAGAATCACCCAAGGTCACGACGGATCTGTTGCCAAGACTGGCGCTGCAAATGCGCTCGGTTCAGGACCACGAGAGCGCTGGATCCGATCCCAGAGCGGCTTGTGCATCGGAGACTCATTCCGGGGATGCCCGGCCGGCCGCACAGGAGCCGCAGAGTGGAGAGTTACGTGGAAAACCGCGGCTCCTTTCGAAGGGCGACATCGATCTCCTCGGTCATCACGCCCAGGAGGATCGTGCGTAATGAATGGCTCTCCATCGAGACCCCTCAAAATGGAAGCCTTGCGTGGGATGCGGATTCGTTACCATCCCCGCATGCAAGGGTTTTCGAGTGGCACATTGAGCAAGGCATTTCTGGCTTGCTGGCGACAATTACGAGGACTCGACAGGCGACCCCGAAGCGGAAGCAATACTCGGACGTACGGTGCAGAGGCGTACTGTGGAGGCTTCCACCTGATAAGACAAGAACAGACCGTCCATCATTGTGATGGTCTCAAGCAGCTCTTCCCGGACAGATCCGCAAACCGCCTGCACTGCCCAGTGATGGCATCGACGATCGACATAGGCTGGCATGCGGACCACCCTTCTTCGGAAATCACGTGAAAGGACCTGGCCGCTTCTTCCGGCCCTATGATCCGACCTGCTGGGAGCACCACTCGACTGCCATCCAAAACCCCACACAATTCTTCCGGTATCCCTCGGCCTGCACGGATCACTTCAGCCGTGTGCCTCTCCTCGCCTTGAACCGGGAAAGTCCACAGGACCAGGTCGGACTCTAAGCTCGATGAAATGGGAACCTCCAAGAGGAACCTCTCCGACTTCGAATCCACCCGGTCTTCTGGAGCAAACTTGAGCCAAAATGGCTACATGAAGGGTATGAGGGATCTCCAGAAGTTGCCCTGATAACCTGTTGGTGTTGTGTGGCCTAGAACTCCCTTGTGGGACTTCCAAAACGAGCACTTTAAACCCCTGTCATAGAGGACTTATAAAACCTTTCAATTCCGCGCAACACCCCTGGAGGACCTAAAACGAGGACTAACACATCACCCCCCTCGC